GAGCAGTTACCTCAGCAATTACAGTAACCCCCTTGTTTGTTCATTCACAGGCATAAAAAATCCAAAGCGACCAGGTGGCAGTCTCAATTTTCAGTTTAGTGGAATCATTGTTCCTCTAGTAGAAGCATTCCTCCCTCTGGAACTAGGACCTCTAAGCCAGCACATTTTAAAGTTATGAGGACAGGAAGAAGAAATTTTGGTGGTGGATCCCTAGGAGTAGTAAAGAGGCCTCTCCTGTTTCCACTTCTTGATTCTTGGGTGTGTGAATCCTGGTAATGGGAAAAACAGCACTATATACTACATGCTAATTTAGACCACATACCGCATTCTGGAGGACACTGCCCCAGCCCTGCAAAGTAACACCACTTGTTACCTTAGCTGGGTCTTCAAAGGCCTTTGCACAATTGTCAGACCAGCTGCTTTGGGATTATGGGGAAAATGAGGAGATCAGTAACTTCCATCAGTTGTGAAATGAGTTCTTGATTAAAATTGATATTGAGTGGGATACATGACAGTGGACAAAGCATTCTGTAGGTCTATACTTGGTCATTTTAGCAGAAGAATCATATGCAGAGAAGAAAAAATCATATTCAGTGTAAAAGTGTATTCCTCGAAGAACAAAATGCTTTCCCTTCCATGAGAAAGCAGTTCAGTGCATAATAAACCTGCCCCCAGCCTGTTACCCCAGGAAATACCATATCAGGACTTATTGTTGGTCCCTGCTGCTGGCAGTCTAGGTCCTCAACAGTGTTTGTTGTGATGAGTAGAGATTCATGTTGCTGAACCCATGCATACCCTCCGTCCCTGCCACCATGGCCACTTTGTTCACGAGCCCATTGAACAAAGTGTTTTGGTAATAACTAGAGTAGCTGGGGAAAGAGGCTGACTGGTGTCTACACAACAGGTCACTCTTCCCATTTTATTGTTAAAATTCTCCTCCACTGACATAACTCTCTAGTGAGAATTCATATTGACACAAATATTTCTGGGTGCCATTCTAGAAGAGGTCCATCCAGATTCCTCTTTCCCAAACCTCCTTGCCAACAATTTTTCAAGTGTGTTCCTTCTAAATCCCTGACCCTTCAGCCAAACCATTTGTCAAAGTCAATCCATTACAGACTGGTATCTCTGGCTGTTTTGTTCTCTTTGGAAAAATAACCAAGCAAGGGCACTGCTTGAAGTTCCGCCCACTGGGAGGATTCTCCTTTACTACAGTCTTTCAGGGAGGCCCAGAGTAAGGCTGCAGAGTACACTTTTGAGTGGTACTTGCATACAATGTAGAACCATTTGTTAACCAGACCTGAGGGTTTTTTTTCTTTTTTTCTCTCCTTAGTCAACTTGTCTTAGGCAGGACAACTTAGGTATGGATTGAAAGAGAGAAGGTAACATAGGGGGAATAGGGACCATGGACATACTGGCAACTTCCTCATATAACTTCCTTGTGCCTTAAGGGCCTCCTCAAGTCTGATCTCATATATACTGCCTCCCTTTGATAACACAGAGTACTGCTGTGCACACTCAACATTATATCTTGTCAGACGACACCCAGTTCACGATGAGAACTTCAGGTAGCAGGGTAACTTAGTGGCCCATGATCAAGTGTTTGTCTGTACTAAGGCCTAGTAATAGGCCAAAAGCTTTTTCTCAAAAGGAGAGTAGTTATCCACAGAGGATGGTGTAGCTTTGCTCCAAAATCCTAAAGGTCTGTGCTGTGATTTACCTAGTGAAGCTAGCCAAAGGCTCCAAATATCAACCTGATCTACCAATTAAACTTTAAGTACCATTGGATCTGCTAGATTATGTGACCCAATTGACAGAGCAGTTTGTATGGCAACATGAACGTATTGAAGAGCCTTCTTTTGTCTGGGCCATATTCTATACTGCCACCTCTTTGCATGATCTGGCAAATGGGTCAGAATAGCCACCCCCAATAAGGTGTATCTTATATCCAAAATCTAAAGAGGATCCCTTGGGCATTGTGCCTCTATTTTAGTGGCAGGAAGGTTAGATGTAGCACTTTATCTTTTACCTTGGAAGGGGAATCTTGACATTTTATAGATCACTGGACCCCTAGAAATTTCACTAGGGTAGAATTTTTGTTTTACTGAATTTTCATTTTACTTTGTTACTGTTAAAGAAAAACTAAATCAGGAAATGAACTTTGTAGCTGTATGTAGTGACAAGAATATAGCCTCAAGAACTAGTCAGACCTGGATTTGACTCCTAGCTGTACCACTGGTAGCTATAGGACTTTAAGAAAGCTACTTAACCTTTTTGAGCTCCAATTTTCTTGTCTATAAAATGGATGTGTTAACAAAAGTATTTTAGGGTTGTTATATGAAATGAGATACTGTGTGCAAAGCATTGTATAGTACCTGGCTTATATTTAGCACTGAACAACTGTAGCTCCTTCTCCTTATATTATGAAGAATCACCATGAAAATATATGGATAATAGGTGTTTCAATTCACAATTTTCTTGTAAATTGAATTTTATGGCAGCAGAATTATGGGAAGGTTTGTGTTATGCACAGTTCTACAGGTGAGGAAAATGAGGAAAGAAAGATAAAGTGAATTTTAGTCGTATAACCCAAGATGATGATAAGGTCTCTTGATTTTTGCAGTTATAATGTGTACTAAAAATTAGAAGTGAGCAGAAGTGCCAGAGTGTATTTTGTTTCCTATTTCCAGATGTGGTTTTATAAGTGACTATATATAATCTCACATTTGTTCTATTTGAATAGAGTCTAGCTAGAGATAGCCACAGAAAGAATGGGTAAAGAGAGAGAACAGGAAAAGAGTGGGAAAATATTTTTTTTTTGTTTAAAGAAAAGAAAAAGTTTGAATTACAGATTTTAAGTAAAATACTTATATATTGATACCTAGACTTTAATATGTGCCAGATAATGTTAAAAACTTATTCAATAGATTTATATGAAATTATTTATAGCATAATTCATTATTCTTCCTTTATATTGGATAACCAGTATTATGTAATTCTCAAATGCAAAAACAATGTGAAATTTGTCTTTTGGGGACAGTTAATGATAAGAAAGCAAGATTCATGGCCACCTTTTCAGATGTGCTTCCTTTAGTTTCTTGCTATCCCAGGTGTGGTCTATGGGGCAGCAAACAGGTATCACTGACTGCTTATTAGCAACGCAGAATCTCAAGTCTACCCTACACATTCTGAATAAAAATATACATTTTACCAAGATTTAATGTAGGCATATGAAGGTTTAAAAGGCATTGCTGTTGACTTCTGATCTAGGTTGACTTCTGTACTATATTCCTGTCTGCCCGATTTACTTGCAATATTGGAATCAGAATAGCCAGTAGTGTCCATTTAGTTTTGTAGAATTTGCAAATCGGAACCTAGGTTGACTTCTGTACTATATTCCTGTCTGCCCAATTTACTTGCAATATTGGAATCAGAATAGCCAGTAGTGTCCATTTAGTTTTGCAGAATGTACAAATCAGAACTCTACTTCATTTTTTGAATGACAGTTCACATTTTTCTAAAATGAGAAAATTACACTATAGCTACATCATTATGATTTAAAAATCGATGTAATTCACAATTAGGTTCCTATTAAGCTTCTGTTTTAAGGCAAAATGAGATGTTTAGTAATAAACTACTGGAAAGTAGTTTATTAATTATATCACAGCTAAATTGGACTATATCATAGTATTATTAATTATAGTCAGGAAACTACATTTTGTTCCCCTTAACAAATGGCAAGACCAGTTTCTAAAACATGATTTTCTGTGCCCTTATCCAAGGATGGGAAATATCAGAGATGGCTTATTTTCCCTTAAGACCCTCCTTCCCCTATATTTGAGGGGCAATGCCAGTGGATCCAGAAAACTTTTTCCCCCTGGATCCTGGATGTAACCTCAGAATCCTTCTTAATAAAGCATTCTAGGCAGCTACCAGAAATCAAAGTTGCCAGCAGAATAAAAGTTATAAAATGTAGCATTTCATATTAGTCTCCTGCAAATATTAAAATTTTTCATTGTTACAAGCAATGAAAATTGTCAAAAACAAAGTACAAGTATCATACTCCTGCATTCTTAATCCAGACCATCTTTTATTCCTCATGCTTCTCTGGCAGTGTTACCAAAACTTCCTCAGTGAATATTGAACTTCGTCAAGTTATCAGATATTACTGACAGTATAGTGAAAAGAGTAAAAGGTCTTAGAATATGACAGAATAATCCTTCTTGTGTGACTTTGGTTACATTACTTCTCTTCCTCATCTGTAACATGAGGATGTCATCTGATACAGAGTATTGAGAAGATTAAATAACACATTAATGTAACCAGCAAACATACAGAAGTTATATAAATGTTAGCTGCTGTCTTCCCTCACTTCCCTTTTCCCCTGAATAGTTTTGTTGGTAGACAAGGTGACTCTTGTAAAGCAAGTAAAATATTTATCAGGTTCTAGAAGAACACTATTTGTCTCTTGCAAGGCTGTTACCAGTAATAAAAATTCACTGTAGTGGGCAGTTACTTAACTATTCTCTTTATTTACTGGACATGCTCTAGATGAGGTTCTTAGACTTAATATGTGAAAGAGTGAGGGAAGTTTAGAAGGATCATGTTTTACAGTACTTAATAGTAACATATAGAAAGAGAAATACCCATAAGTTTGTAATACTAGTCCAAAAACTACTTTTAGAAGTACTGAAATAAGAAAAATAATGATCAAAGTATATCTATTGTACAATATGAGAGATCCTCAAGGACAGTGGAAATGGTAAAGTATTTGTTTTCCTGACCCTACAATAGAAGCATGAATGTAAGATAAGTACATATTTTAGTAGATGCTTGTTACTGCAATATGATAATACCATGGTCTAAAGATACTTCTTGATGATGGTTCTTCCAGGATCTATGCAAGAAAAAGTAAAAACTGAAATGTGTAAAGTAATTATTATAGGTATTGTCTTCAAGAAAAAGCACAAGAAAAATAAATGCATTCTGGGAAAAAAGTATACATTGGTAGAACTTTAATGTTCTTTGAAAATTTACTGACAATCAAACACTTCAAGAAGTAAGAATTGAGCATGTTAAAGCATGCAAACCTTTAGGAACACTTTCCTAAATGACAGTGTTCTCTGGCTTCAACTACAGACTTCTGTGAAGAATCAAAGACTTCAACTGTAATTGCATTCAGTCAGAGAATGCTCTTCTATAAGGCATTCTTTGAGAAATCCATATAAAAATTAGATGTTTAAGAATCTGTGTATTTAGCAATACAAAAGACATTTAAATGAAAATTTTATTAACTGGAATTTTGTTATGCCATAGAACTAACTTAGGAGCAAGATTCCAAGGCAGAAGTGAATCTGATGGCAGCACTGCTTTCATATTTAGCATATAATACTAGAATGGCATTAATAATATAGCAGGTACAGAAAATGTTTTTCCCATTCCTGATTTTGTTGGATTCATACTGGTAGCTTTGTAAAATATAAATTCTGATTCTTTTTCAACTTTGTCTAATTTAAATTCCCCTATCTTCTGCTAAGTATAAAATAAATGGATCTGGATTTGTGAATTTGCTTTTGTAAAATTAAAAAATAACCTGCTGAAACTATTCAGAAATATACCCCAATTAGGGCATTTTTTTAAAAGAATGTGTGAACATGTTTAAAATTAACCTTTACCATAATTAAGTTTGGTAGAAATAGAAATTATTATAGGTTATAACTCATAAAATTAAGCTTATTAAATAACATTACTTGGGACAAGTACTATACTTTGTTAACTTTAACATTTTTCTTCTTTTCCCTTCTTTGGTTCTTTATTGGACAATGAGTTTTTACTGTGAGACATGCTAAGGAAGAGCATTATAATTTTTTGTTTTACTCTAAAGCTCATCCATGTATTTTATTTTGAATGGCTACTGTGTGCTATGTACCAGAAGAAACTTGTTTCTTTCCATCTGAGATTTTATCTGGCTTCTCATAAGCTGGTGGATCTAGGAAATGCCATACTTCTTAATATTTAGCAGTTTTTTATCTCCACTTGTATAAAATTTAAGAATATTTTAAAATAAGATGAGTAATTTATAATTTCATGAATTTACTTATTTTAATATTCTATAATTTTCAGATCAAGTTATTAGTCAAGATGTATATACTCAATCCATTTTGAATGCTTTTCCAGATAATACTTTCTTCATTTAAAGGTTCATATTTATTTAAGGGTATCATAAATATTTAGTGGATTGAGATCTATAAACGGATATGTATCACTGACCTAACAAATATATACTGGGAATCAACTTTGTTTCTATGAGAGATCTGTATATATAATACTATTTATTTAGTTTATACCTAATTAAACTAAGCTTTTATTGAAATTTAGGAAGGAATCAAGATATATTTTCTAGAGTGTATAAACCAGAAGTTGCCTAGGTAATGGCTGCAATTTAAAGTTCTTAAAATAATGCAACTCCTTAGGTGTGTGTTAATTTTTCAATCTTGTTATATATTTTAAGAGGGCTGATATTTTCCCATATGTTTACTTTGAGCAACTAGTAATTATAAATATCCATTTATGAGTATAAAGGTATCTCTGTGTTTCTAAATTATATTTAGTTTTCTGATTTCTAGATTTGATGTCTAGTATATACTATTATTTTCTGTAATAGATATAATTTAAAACACAATAATAAGAACAGCATTAGAATAGAAATCAATACCATTCTTCTAGATTTCTTAGAACATCACATACCAACAGTCAAGTGCTTTTATTGAAATACAGTTAGTAGCAATTAGCCTAAATTTTGGCTTTTCATAGATTGAAACTGTTAAAGTCCAGTTGATCCCAATGTTTTTGGATAGTGGTAGTATTTTTAGTGCCATGAGAGAGTCACCTAGTTTATGTAAAAGTATGCTTACTGAATTACCAGATATATGACATCACAATGTAGTAATATTGGATGAGTAATTCATAATAAAAACTTTTGTCCGAGGTTTCACAAAGACCACCAGAATAACTGAATAAATAAGCTTAAGTCTCTGCTCCAGTTTTTCATTTTTCAAATTGGGTTACCTGCCCCAATTCTATCCCACGTTCTAATGATTCAGGTCTCCTATTTTTAAATTTTAATAATGAAAAAATTAATGATTACTGTAATTAAAAATGTCAGGCTTTCTTTCTATGAATCCATAAGCCTATTTCTAACAATTCTTTATTCAGACATTTAAAAACTTAAAAAAAATTAAAAGCCACTCTTTATTGCACATTTACAATATATTTGACCATCTCCTCGTTAAATGAATCACTAAACTACATTTTGGACATGCACTGCTCTTTTAGACTACTAAAAGTCGGTAAATTTTTTATGTCTTCAGGTGATTAATCCTTCTACCTGGAAAGTGTTAATATAGCTCTCTAAAGTGTCTGTTCGTAGGGATTAGTCTCATGATTTGTATTTACTATTCAGTTTATAATAATTTAAAATGTTGCACTAATTAGATCTGTACAAAAAGAATAGTCAGTTTTCTTGGTAATAGAAAGGGATATAAGTAGTGATACTTAGAAACCAAAACTGAACATACCCTGCTACATTATTTCCCAGAGAATATGGTTTATCTTTAATATATATAATTTGCCTGAGAATAAGTGGTGATTGATTAAATATTTTATCAGTAAAGATAAAATCTACCTAGATTATCATTTCTTTTTGTATTTTTACTATTTTAAGTGGAGAGAAAAGTTCAGTTTTTTACAATCAAAATAAGTATTAAAGTGATCTTATAAAATCAGAGCCCCAAACCCTAACCCAAGAACAACTATGAAATTAATAGTGCATTGCTGCTAAGTGGTGGGTAGGTTAGCTCTTGAATAAGGTTTAGTTTGTTACATGAAAAACATTAATAAATGAATTCATTATTCTCAGGCTTTCTATAAACACCAACAATTTGTATAATGCAACATTAAAAAAACTTCAAAGCACATTTTAAAAATGTTTAAGCAATTGTTATTTACATCATTTATGATTGGTCAACTGTAGTAAGGTATGAAAATTCCTAAAACGGAAAGAAAAAATAGCAAAGAAAGCAGAAAACAATGAATCCAATGACCCAGTTCACTGAATAAATATATATGATCACCATATCCATGTCAAACCACCATCCACGGCTATCATCTTCAAAGTGCAGGTAATCCATCCTGTGTGCACCATGCGGGAACTGCCTTCTTGTAACTGGAGCTGCACGTCTGTGGAAACCTAGAAGATGTATGAACATATTAAAGCCCATTAAATTCAAGCTAGTGCTCAGAAAAGAACCTGCAACATGAACACAAGTACAATTAAACAAAGCATATCTTGATTTCACTGAGTGGATTTATGTTGCTTCCCGACAGTTTTTTCAACGACAAGCAACTATTAGAAGCCTCTTCTGGTTCAGGGCATTAAAGGCAGGGTAGCAAAGAACACAGGATATTAAGTCAGGAGATTTGCCTAGGTCTGCCACTTCATTGGGGCAAGACATTTATCTCTTTTGGTCATGAATTTCTCATCTCTGCTATCTGATTTCTTCAAAAATTTGTGGGAATCAAATGTAATTATTTTCAAGAGAATATTTTCTAAATTTAAACTTTATTCATGTTTTATTTTTACAACTGCTTTTATAACTTCTGATCACCCACTTAACCTTGTATCTTATACTATGAGAATTTCATTCAGTTTAATTCTTTGAGCAAGGTTCTAAGAATAATATCTTATTTTGTTTTAGCATCGAATAAACTGGACAGATGTAATGATACTCCTTTAAAGAAATTTAGCTTTAATTTCCAGAGAATTCAAAGCATGGGGATTGGTTGGTAGAGAAAAAGCAAATCTTGAAAGTAAACTATAGTCTACTTATTACTAAATGAATATGACATTTCTGAGAAATATTACACCATGAAATACAATTTTCTTTTGTATATTTAATGCTAATTAGAGCTTGAGAAAAAACCTGCTTAATAGCAACTTGGTTTTTTTTTTTTTTTGGTTGACCAATATATAAACTCAAAATCATTTAAAAAACAAAATTCAATTTTCTGAGGACTGATAACCTATTAATCTTTTGCTTTTTACTTATCTACTTTCTACTTTAAGTATTTCTGTGTTTATTCGTGTTAGGAAGCAGGGACAGCATAATAAACTAGGCAGAAAAATGTAATTCTGGTACTTGCTAGCAATTCTGGTGATAACAGTTCTGTGAAGCTCTAGCTTGAGGCAGATTTTGGTTCATTTGCTACAACAATTGAGTAATGTTAAATATGCTCTAGGTCAGGCTGCTTATTCTGATGGCAAGGTTGCATTTACCTGGGTATTAGTATGGTCGCTTAAAGTCAAAACTCTTTAATCAAGAACTATCCTATTTTTTATGTATTAAGTTTATTTGGAAATTATATTTGCTTATATAGGTTCAAAACATGAAATTTAAAAAGATAAACATGAAGTAAGTGATATTTTAAATTAATTTGTAGAGCTACATTTCAAGTAGGTTTTAAAATGATTTCTAATTGATCTTGGTTGACTTTCTATCATATCTGATTAAAAAACTTTTTTTTTACTGCCACACAATATTTGTACATTTTTATGGCATATATGTAATATTTTATTGTTTATCTTTGTAGTCTGGTGGTTCTCTGTAGTGGTATCCTTTGTATTTTTTCTCTTATTTGTATGTTTGTTCTACCATTTGGGTTTTACTTTCAAGTGTTTTCATGATGTCATTCTTTTGCTTCCAGGTGTAGGACTCCCCTAAACATTTCTTACAGGGCCAGCCTAGTGGTGATGAATTCCATCAGCATTTCCTTGTCTGGAAAAGGCATTATTTATCCTTCATTTCTGAAGGAAAACTTTGTCAGGTATAATATCCTTGGCTGCCATTTTTTTTTCTTCAGCACTTTGAATATGTCATTCTATTCTCTGGTCTATAAGGTTTCTACTGAGAAATCCAATGTTTTCTGATTGGGGTTCCCTTGTAAGTGACTAGATACTTTTCCTGTTTTAAAGATTCTTTGACTCTTGATAGTTTGGCTATATGTACCACGGAGAAAACCTTTTTGCAGTATGTCTATTTGGGGATTTCTGAGCTTCCTGTATCTTGATATGTAAATAATTTTCTAGCCTTGTGAAGCTTTCATCTATTATTTCATTAAATATGTTTCCTATACCTTTCATTTTTCACTTCATCTCTGGGACACCAAAAATTTGAATATTTGGTCAGTTTATGGTGTCTCATATGTCACACAGGCTTTGTTCATCCTTTTAAAATTCTTTTTTCTTTATTTTTGTCTGACTGGGTTATTTCAAGAGACCTGTCTTCAAGTTCTGATATTTTTTCTTCTGCTTTATCTAAACTATTATTGAAGTGCTTGAATATATTTTGTATTTCATTTACTGAAAGAGTTGGGGAGAGAAGCAACTTGGAAAACATATTACAGGAGATCATCCACGAGAACTCCCCCAACCTAGCTATAGAGGCCAACATTCAAATCCAGTGAATGCAAAATATTTAATAAGGTTATCCCCAAGACATATAATCATAAAATTCTCCATGGTGGAAATGAAAGAAAAAATGTTAAAGGCAGCTAGAGAGAAAGATCACCTACAAAGGGTAGTCCATCAGACTGACAGTGGACCTCTCAGCAGAAACCTTACAAGCCAGAAGAGATTGGAGGTCTATATTCAACATTCTTAAAAGAAATTTCAACCAAGAATTTCATATATGGCCAAACTAAGCTTCATAAGCAAAGGAGAAATAATATCCTTTTCAGACAAGCAAATGCTGACGGAATTTGTCACCATGATATCATCCTTACAAGAGCTCCTGAAAGATGCATCAAATATGGAAAGGAAAGACTGTTACCACCCACTGCAAAAATTCTAAGTTCACAGACCAGTGACACTATAAAGCAACCATACAAACAGGTTAGCATAATAAACAACTAACAACAGGATCAAATCCACATATATCAATACTAACCTTGAATGTAAATGTGCTAAATACCACAGTTAAAAAAAAAAGGGGGGGCACAGCATGGCAAGCTGTATAAAGAACCAAGATCTAATGGTATGCCATCTTCAAGAGACTCATCTTACATCCAGTGACACCTACAGGCTCAAAATAAAGGGATGGAGAAAAATCTACCAAGCAAATGGAAAGCATTAAAAAGCAGGGGTTGCAATCCTAGTAACACAAAGACTTTAAATCAACAAAGATTAAAAAAGACAAAGAGGGGCATTACATAATGGTAAAGGGTTCAATCCTATAAGAAGACTTAACCTAAATATATATGTACCCAACACAGGAGCACCCAGATTCATAAAGCAAGTTCTTAGAGACTTTTAAAGAGACATAGACTCCCTCACACTAATAGTGAGAGCTATCAACACCCCACTAAAAGTATTAGATCACTAGGAAGGAAATTAACAAAGATATTTGGGACCTGAACTCGACACTTGACCAAATGGGCAGAACTTGCAACCACCAAACAACAGAATATACATTCTTGTCATTGCCACATGGCACATATTCTAAAATTGCCCACACAATTGAACATAAAACAGTCCCCAGAAAATTAAAACTGAAATAAAAACATCCACACCCCTGGACCACAATGCAATAAAAACAGAATTTAATAACAAGAATATGTACCAAAACTATACATTTAACCTGCTTCTGGAATGGAAATTAACCTGCTTCTGAATGACTTTTGGGCAAATAATGAAATGAAGGCAAAAACCAAGAAGCTCTTTGAAACTAATGAGAAGAGTTAAAAGGGAAACTTACAGCACTAAACACCCACATCAAAAAGTTAGAAAGATCTGAAATTAACAGCCTAACATTATAACTAGAGAAACAAGAGCAAACCAACCCCAAAGCTAGAAGACAAGAAATAATCAAAATCAAAGCTGAACTGAAGGAGACAGACACAAAAAGCCATTCAAATATCAACAAAACCAAAAGCTGTTTTTTTTTTTTTTGAAAAAATTCAGATAGGCCACTAACTAGACTAATAAACAAGAAAAAGGAACATCCAAGTAAACACAAAGGGGATATTATTACACCACTGACTCCACAGAAATACAAGTAACCATTAGAGAATATTATGGACACTTCTATGCATACAAACTAGAAAATCTACAACAAATGGATAAACTCCTGGACACATACACACTCCCAAGACTGAACCAGAAAGAAATTGAATCCCTAAAGAGACCAATAATAAGCTCTGAAATTGAATCAGTATTAGCCTATCAACCAAAAAAATTCCAGGACCAGACTGATTCACAGCCAAATTCTATAAGATATATGAAGAACTCTGGTACCATTCCTACTGAAACTATGCCAAAAAAATTTAGGAGAGACTCCTCTCCAATGCATTCTATGAGGCCAGCATCATCCTGATAGCAAAGCCTTGCAGACAAAACAACAAAAAAATAAAATTTCAGGCCAATGTCCTTGACGAACATCGATGCAAAAATCCACAACATAATGCTGGCAAACTGAATTTATCAGCACATCAAAAAGTGAGTTCACCACAAATAAGTAGGCTTTATCCCTGGGATTCAAGTGTGGTTCAATGTATGTAGATCAATAAATGTGATTTGTAACATAAACAGAACTAAAGACAATAACCATCTCAATAGATGCAGAAAAGACTTTCAATAAAATTCAACATCGTTTCACGTTAACTCTCAACAAACTAGGTATTGAGGGACTATACCTCAATAATAAGGGCCATCTATGACAACCCCACAGCCAACATCATACTGAACTGGCAAAAGCTGGAAGTATTCCCCTTGAAAACCATCATAAGACAAGGATGCCCTCTGTAACCACTCTTATTTGAAAAGCATTGGAAGTCCTGGACAGAGTAATCAGGCAAGAGAAAGAAAGAAAGAACATCCAAATAGGAAGAGAGGAAGTCAAACTATCCCTGTTTGCAGACAACATGATTCTATATCTAGAGAGCCCATAGTCTCAGTCTAAAAGTTCTTAAGCTGATAAGCAAATTCAGCAAATACTCAGGATAGAAACTCAATATGCAAAACTCACTAGCATTCCTATACACCAACAACAGGTGAGCAGAAAGCCAAATTAAGAACAAATTCCCATTCACAATTACTACAAAAAGAATAAAATACCCAGGAATACAGCTAACCAGGAAGGTGAAAGATATCTACAAGGAAAACTACAAACCACTACTCAAAGAAATCAGAGATGA